CATGGCCCGAGGCCAGGCCACGAAACCGTCAAAAACGACCGAGGACGAAAAACGGGTCCCGGGGAATGGGTCCAGACCTCTGGGGGTCGACGTTATGAAATAATCGTATGTCGGGGGTCTGGGTCTGGAGAGCTCCTCGTCGCCACGGTTGGATCCTCTTCGACAATTCTGGCCAGAATGCACCCCAGGAGAAGAGTAAGTACAGTCGGGGCGCTGAAGAAGGAACCCTTGTCATTGGGGAGGGGCTCCCTGTTCCTCAGTCGTCTCACAGCTTGCCTCAGGTTGTCATTAGATCTTCGATGGGGAATCGAAGTCCTCGCTCCCTGTTTAGGCTCTCAGGTCTGTTGTGCGCTCGCTGACGGCCGACGATGGGGCTCCAGCACCCTGTGAGGCGTTGCGGCGCGTGCAGGTTGCTGGAGACGAGTCTAGCTCGGACTCGAGGGGGAGAGGCTATCAGCCTCGGGGCATCCTTCCGCAATGGGAGATGGCTCTGAGGCTTTTTTGGTCTGTCCCTCTTCTCTTTCAGGCCGTGTGGCTGAGCCATTCGGCAATACTTCATTTGTGCCCACTCTGTTTGGGTCCTTGGCAGTGGATGTCAGACAAATCCTGGGGTCAACGCCCCGACAGTGGCGGCCTCTGTGTTCGTTGTGCCCACTTGCTCACCAGCCGCCGCCCTGCGCCGGTCGAGGCTCCTGGCTCGAGGGGCTCGAGGCTGGCAGCTCTCCGGCAGCATGGCTTCTGCTCAATCCTGCTCTCGACGAGCGCGTTCCACTACTCGCAAAGCAACTGCTCGCAAGTGGCCTGGATCCCCCTCGGGGGACCTACAGTTGCATCAGAGCAGACGGGTGTTTCTTCTCGGACGTTTGCGAGCAGGCACTTCGGCGAGTGGTGGCACGCGCTCGGCGGCGCTCCTCGTCCTCGGCGGCCGTTGCCGGGCCCGGGGCCGTCAGAAACGGATCCGGGGACGCGGGTGTCAGGGGTCGGGAGCTCTGGGGCCGCGGGCTGAAGCAAGAGCATCGTCGGATGTCTTGGGGGCGAGGCTCGAGCTGATGTCGCACGCCCAACGGGCTCTCCTCGGAGGCCTCAAAGGGCCGTCGGAGAGCACTCGCGGTCGTCGCCGCCACCGTTCTTATCGTCACCTCCGCACCCGTGGTCGTCGTCGTCATCGTCATCGTCAGCGCCATCGTCGTTGCTGTGTTCGTTGCGGACAACGTCGTCGCCGTCGGGTCGTCGTCACGGCCGCAGCGAGTCGTCAGAGTCAGAGTATTGGCCTTCGCGGTCTCGACGGAAGAGGGCTGCAAGAGGACAAGAAAATTCATAACGAAGAAGACGAGCGTCAATGAGGAGGCGGGGGCGGCAGAGGATGAGGAGGAGGAAGAGGAGGAAGTGGACAGTTTTCACATGTTGGAACGGGATGGGGGGGCTGCCCACTTCCTTGCCGACGCTCTTCAACCTCCTGCACCGCTTAGTCATATAATGCACGTGGCGCTATGGCGGGAGCCACATTTTGAAAGAGCACCGCCCTCCATCCATTAAGTTCTTGCTGTTCTAAATCAAGACGAATGTGTGCGGCGCTCACGCGAGAGCCACATTTTGAAAGTAGCCCACCCTCCGTCCGTGAAGTTTTTGCAATTTGGAAGACGTGTGCGCGCGGCGCTGAGGCGGGAGCATCATTTTGAAAACGGCCCACCCTCCATCCGTGAAACTTTTTCAACTTACATATTAGTTTAAGGATCATAAGTGGTGAGGATGTCTCAGGCGAGCCCTCCGGGCCGCCTTACCGACACGCCCCGGGGTGCGACAGGGAGGAGTCATGAGAAGGGAAGCGGACTGGAGGAGCTAAGGGCGGCATTTTGTCTTGCCGACGCCCGCGCTTCTCATGCTCCGTTTGCCCTCGCGGAGCACTCCGGCGGCTCTATGGTTTTGTTTCTGCCACCAGGACGCTACAGCCTGGTTGCCAAAGTCGTCCGCCGAACGGTCACGAGGCAGAGGAGGAGGAGGAGCGTGCCGCGGAGGGGGGGAGGCCGCCTCCCTCGCCCCCCCCCCCGCCTTGGCGCCGCAGAACAGCGCCGGGGGAGGGCATGCGCTGCGAGGGAGAGCGCGGGGCGAGAAGGAGGAGGCGGAGAAGGAAGCATGGGAGGAGGGGAGGAGGGGAGGAGGAGGAGGAGCAGGAGGAGGAGGAGGAGGAGGAGACCCACACCAGCTGAAGGTGCCACCACATTAAACATGCATCAAAGAAACAAATCAAATACCGTCATCCGAGAGTTCGGCCTCCTCGCGCTGTCTTCTGTCAAGGACCTGCTGCCCAAGCCCTTCGGCCTGAGCGCGGGAGGAGAACCCGAATAGCGCAAGGCCTCGGATGAGGTCGACCCCGATCCGCTCGACGGCGGGGCCGGGTCCAAGCTCGGGCACCCCTCCTAGGCCTAACTTCGAGGCCAGGAAGGTGCGAGAGTCGTCGGATAGCGAGCACGCTGCTCCGACTCGGCACTCCTTGCGGGACGGATGTTTGCCTTGCAAAATCCAAGCCAATTGCCTCTCGCGGCCTGGGGAACGGGACCCCAGGCAGTCCGACACGAGAGCGCTCCGACCCCACGAAATCCCAGGGCGGCCGATGGACCCGCAAGTGGTGCAAAAAACTACTGGTCCCAAAAGAGCCCCAGCAGCCGAGGTCACTGGAGCTTCGATGCAGGAATGGCCTCTGGCTTTCCAAGGCCTGAGGAGGGCCCAAGCCTCTTCCCCCGGAGGCGGCGGGAGGACGGGGGAGGATAACACCTCGCCAGCGTCCTGCGCCTCGCCGCTAGCCGTAGCGCTCCCTCCGACGACGACGGACGACGCTCCGACATCCGCCCCACCCACCACCGCCATCATCCCCTAGGACGTCTGGCGGCAATTCAAATGTGCCGAGGTCGACATGTCGGAGCCAATCGAGCGGGACATGGTCATACACCCCAGCATCCGCTATCATGGCCTCCTGACGGGCCGAGTACCTAGCCACCTGCGTGGCAATCTCATGACAGCCGATGATGACGAGACAATCGGCGGGGTCACTGCGATACAGCTCGGCCCCGCGACGCGCATACTCATCCGCTGCTTTGTTGCCGAGCCACTGCGCTCGGGTCAGGCGGCCTTCGATTACGTCCGTCTCTGTACAATGGGACGAGACTTTCCAGACAGAGCAATCATCAAGCTTGTCGTGCACCTGGGCCCACCAGTGGGCCCGCGCATTATCGGGGCCTGCAGCGGACCTGGGGTCCCGAGCACAATCCACGGTGCCCGCGCAATCAATATTGAGGCGGACTCCGGGGAAGAGGGTGGCATTGAGACAGAGCTGGAGGACAGCATAATCTTCGCCGTCCCGGGCGGCTTGGAAGGGTGCCTCAGCTAAGGGCACCACCCCCCAAATACACGACAAGACGACCCCCTCCCCGTCCGTGACGACCACCGCCCATCCCGCCACTCCCAGGGACCGAAAGCGGCCCTCAAAAGCCGATCCGTCCGTATGTACGTGCATTCCAGTCCCCAACATAAGCCCGTCGGCAGGCCAGTTGAGACGATGCATGTAGCAGGAGGACGGGTCGGGCGCTTTGCGCTTGAACCAGGCCGAGGGGTCGGGGAAAACCGCCCTCGAAAACAAATCCTGGACTTGGCTGAAGCGCAGACACAAACCTGGCCGCCTCCCCGACCTAGCTCGAGAGTTCCTCACGTCTCCAAGCCGAGTGGGCAGGGAGGAGGAGGAGGAGGAGGAGGAGGAGGAGGAGGAGGAGGAGGAGGAGGAGAAGGAGAAAGCATAGGAGGTGGAGGAGGAAGAGGAGGAGGAGGAAGAAGAGAGAACATAGGAGAAGGAGGAGCAATCACAGCAGGTGGAGGAGGAGGAGGAGGAGGAGGAGGAGGAGGAGGAGAAAGAGAAAGCATAGGAGTTGGAGGGCGAGGAGGAGGAGGAGGAGGGAGGAGGAGGAGGAAAAGGAGGGGGAGCATCAGGAGGCCGAGAGAGGCCCCGGCCTCCGGAGGAGGGGAGTGGGGAGGAGCAGCAGGAGTAGCAGGCGGAGGAGCGGGGAAGAGGCATGAGGTCCTGCGTCGAGGCCGCCCGCCCTCTGCGCGTGTTGGCCTCCCTTCCTTCCCAACCTCCCTCTTCCTGCTCCTCCTCCTCCTCCTCTTCCTCCTCCTCCTCCTTGTCTGTTTTCTCTTTCCTCCCCCTCTCTCATTCACCTTCCCCCCTCCCTCCCCCACCCCCCGTCCTGCCCCTCTCCCTTCCCCGACCTCCCTCCTCCTCCTCCTCCTCCTCATCATCATCACATCAGCAGCAGCATCATCCATCATCATCATCTCATCCTCTCATCATCATCATCATCATCATCTCATCATCATCATCATCATCATGATCATCATCATCATCATTCATCATCATCATCATCATCATCATCATCATCATCATCATCATCATCATTATCAGCGTCATCATCATCATCATCATCATTATCATCATCACATCAGCATCATCATCATCATCATCATCATCAGCGCCATCATCATCATCATTATCATTATCATCATCAGCATCATCATCATCATCATCATCATCATCATCCTCATCATCATCATCATCATCATCATCAGCATCAGCATCAGCATCAGCATCAGCATCATCATCATCATCAGCAGCAGCAGCAGCAGCATCCTCCTCCTCCTCCTCCTCCTCCTCCTCCTGGTCCCGCCTGCCCGCCTCCCCAGCCTCCGGCTCCTCCCTACCTCCCCTCCCGCTCCTCCTCCCCTCTGCAACTCATTCCTCCTCGCTTCCCCTGGTGATCCACGACCGTCGCGCGACGAGTCACGGCGACGATCGGCGGCGACGTCCGATTGGGGCCGACGACGCATCCCCCCCTGCCAGGGGAAGCGCACCACCTCGGGGAAGCTGGTCCCGGCGAGCGCCCTGCCCCTCCCTGCCCGCGCGCGGAGGAGGAGGAGGAGGAGGAGGAGGAGGAGGAGGAGGAGGAGGAGGACAA